AATAATGGACAGCCAGTAAAAAACAAGTAACGCAGAAAACAGTAACAATAGAAACAAACCACCAAAAGCAGGAAGTAGTCCAATGTCGAGACGATAGAATAAAAAAAAGGCACTTCCTCATGACCCAGATTCGATAAGCGCTTCTTGATAAGCGAACGGGTCTTTTTTTAATAACTTAAGTAAGAGATATTAAAAATCATTCTTTCAGAAGTTATTCAAGTTCTTGAAATCGGTCTGTTAATACAAAATATGTATCTGCTAATTCATTAAACCAATGGTTCATTTGTACTCTATCTGGTTCGTCTAAAAGCAACTCTAATTGCACATACTGAATGGCAATTCTTATATTATGTATTGCTGCCTTAATTATAATTAAATAACACCTAATTCTACTCAATTTCTTCCTTTATTTAAAGGGGAATTTTATGTATTAATGGATTTTGAAATGGATGGGTTTGTTATAAATACTCTCGTAATTCGAAATAAAATGGAGACAATAGAGAAAGATCTCGGAAGAAACCCATTTTCACTGTTAAGTCAAGGAGTTGAGCCTTTGCAATTGCATAGTGAAATTGTACTCTAGCGATAAAATTTGCATATTTAAAAGGAGGGAAAGTCTGTAAGCACGTGCCGCTTTCATGAAGAGTGATCGTGTACTGGCTATTGATGCTTTAGTCGAAGAGTATCTGGTCAAAAGTGACTTCATGCTGCGCCAATTGACCCACGAGATTTGACTTAATGAATTTAAAGAAATGTATATAAGAAAAAGAACTTCAAAATGGAAATGAAATACGACGTAAATGTTTGGGGGCTCCACCTTTTTATCTAACAGCTAAATGTGTGGGATCCTCGTGAACAGATACGCGAATAATCGCTTTAGTTCAGCAACAGAGTCGTAAATTCAAGAAGAGTTAATTACCCTTTAATTCTCAAAATAAGAATTTAACAGTTGCCTCCTTTCTCAGAGCGTACAGCAAAGCTCCACTTGGGCTCGAACTCAAAGTAATAAGAAATAAAACTTAACTAATGCTTAACTAAAAAGAAATAGCCGAAGCTATCAAAAGTCTAAGTAGTTGGCCCCTGAATTTCGAATAAGGTTACCAAGGGCCTTGAAATATGGCCGAGCGTAGTAATAGTAGTCAGAAGCTAGTCAGAAGTTCTGAGGCTCTCTCTCTGAATCAGTGGAACTTCGACTTAAATACCACTCTTACTCATTTGCATTAAACGCGATTCTAAAAACATATTCTGGTAGGAAATTGTAAGCGGAAATTAGGAAGGACATGAAAGTAGTTTTAACTGAAATTAACTTAGGAAAAACCTTACATCTTTCCCCACCAGAATTTAACTACTCGAAGAATAAGGTCTCACAACGACCTTGTTTAGGAGTGTAAATTCTACAAAAGTTACAATCTTTTCCTAAAATCTTAATTTTAATTTAACAATTTTCACTATTAATTCAGGTCTTTCCGACTAAAAGATATTCACAAACCAGTTCCTCGAAAATTTCGAATTCTCAAAAATATATTTACAAACTAATTTCTCGGCAACGTGCGAATTCAAGAATCTTTTTGCTTAAAAGATAATTACAAACGAAATTCTCGCAGACTTTCGAATTCAAACTTTTTGCTTTAAACGGCATTTAGAAACTTGACATAAAAGACAACATGACATAAATTGAACTTTTAATACAAAATAAGCACACAAAAAAAGTTTTCACTTATCTTTTTGGTTTCTAAACTCCTCCATTATGAGACTATAAAAACTGTTCAAAAGTAGAATATCGTAGAAACTGAAGTTTTATCCTTCTTCTTGGATGGCTAGTAACACTCGTCGGAATCTTTCGTTTCTTCCCTCTATCGATGAAACGCGCTGATTTCCAGATTGGCTGAGGGTTCTAGAACTTTAGTCTCCTCTTTACCTACTAGGGAGCCACTTCGTTGCTGAGGATCTTTAAACCTTCTCTTTGATTTTCTGGCTTGCTGGAACGGTACAGCTACCTGGCCGGCTGTCCTTTTTCCTATGGCAATTCTTCGCTCTGCAGCTCCTCTGACCCCCTTGAGGTGGTTGTCGCCGGGCAACGCTGACTATCTCGCGAAGTCTCCTTCGTTGAATCCGCATTTCGTTGTGATGCCACTCCTTTCACTGGATAGCCGTCCGCTGTTCTTTTCCTTTTCTCTGGTGGTTTTGTTTTGTTTTGTGAGGGCGTAGCCTGGTCCTTGCAAAACAAAGTTTGCCCTATGACCCTATACGGGCTACGCCAGTACAAAAATCACCACACAACTATACAAACACACGAATCACACAATGCCAATGGGTTCTTTATTGTTGTTAATAATCTTCATAATCTTATGCGCTATTCCTCTTGCCTTAAGTAAACCATTTTTCATAAAATCTATGTTCGCTCCATTAATGCATCTGGTTAACTTACATTCTGTAATAAAGTGGACATTGTCTCTTACTTTCGTACATACTTTACATAAATCATTATCTTGAACATGGAATCTTTTCAGATAAAAGGGAAATCTCCCATGACCTGTAATTAACTGATTCAAGTCAATGTCATTGCTAATATTCATATTTTCCTTAGGAACAAAAATCTTCACGAACATATTATTTTTTGCAGAGTTTTCCCATTGAGTCCACCATTTATCTACAATGTCACACTTTATAATGTTAATGCATCTTCTCCTGGAGGCTTGTACATCGACAGTTTTAATATCATTACTCATTGTTGCCTCCTTTGCTAAGACATCCACCCTCTCATTATCCAAACAACCGATATGGGCTTTAACCCAATTAAAATTCAATTGATGCCTTACCTCCAATCGTATCACCATTTCTGGTGGTATTAGTGTTCGTTGTGGTGGAATTTTCCTTATTCGCATTTCCGTGGATTTTCTTTTCCTCTTTTTCGCTAACCCTGTACCTTGTGGCGGTTACATGCGTTTAACCGGTCTTTCTTCCGTGCTTTCGGCATGTTTCCTTTTTACTGTTGGAGGCTCCAGCTCGGTGTTTGATTCACTGGAGTTCTTGGCACGTTTCCAGGATACTGCAATAAATCTTTTAAATCTTGGAAGTCAGTACGACTATAATAAGGTTTTATTTGATCAATATTAGCAATTATTTGCTGGACATTTGCAGCCTTTAAATAGAAAGTGACATATTTAATCCTTTCAATCACATTCGGGCCTTCAAACCTGGGCTCAAACTTGCCAACTCTGTTTTCTGGTGCAGACGATAATGAGTGTTTGGTCTTTAATACTTTCTGACCGACCGTGTATTCTATATCCCTTCTATTTCTATCATAATATAGCTTCTGTTTCTGCCTTGCTACATCGGAATTTTGAATCGCTTCATTAATAATTTCTTGGATATCCTTCAATTTAAATTCTTGCGTTTTCTGCACAAACATAGTGTTTATCTAAGAGAGTTAAAATTTTCTTCCTAAAAAGAGTTTTGCGGGGTTCTTTTGTGTAGTGCTTCGCTGTTCTCAAAGCAAAACCGAATTAATTGGCACAGCTGTCCCAACGGTCATGATAATTTTTAACATATCTCCGAATAGTTTTAACAAAATTCTTATTTACAAGTTCCGCAATATTCGATTCCGGTCTATATGGTACCATTTTTAGATGGCGTATGCCAAGTCCTGTGCCAAGATTTTTAAATAAGTTACTTACAAATTGTTTCCCATTATCCGATATTACTTTTACTGGGGCCCAGTATTTTAAAATATTTACTTGCTTAGAAACGAATCTGCTACTATGTTTGCTGATGCTTGTTTAAGGGAAATTATTTCCACCCACTTTGAAAAATGATTAACGATGGTTAACAGATATCTGTTTTTATTAATTTTTGTTCTAGGGTAATGTCCGAGCAAATCAGTGCCAACCAATTCATTTGGGAAAGTGGTTTTTTATGTTATTTAAGTACCCGGCCGGGTTGTAATCAACGTCGTTAATTAATTAACACAAGTTATACAACTTGACATACGCCGTTACCTCCCTTTGTAACTGCGGAAAATAAACCGCTTCGCGGACCCTTTGCAAAGTTTTTCTAATACCTATATGACTCGAAATTGGCGAATGAGGCAGTTGCTCTAAAATATTCAAGCGCAGACTTCCTGGGATCACTAGCCGGTATTCTTGATTATCGCTAATTATTTTCGTGTAAAATAGTACTTTATCAATGATTTCATAATGGGCCCCCTCTATTGCGAATAGACGTTACATGCTCAAAATGTTCGGGGTCTTCAAGATATGCGTCAATATCCTTGAATTCAAGGTCCGTTTTTATTCCGAAATTACTGTTTTGCGAAGATGCAATGGGTGAAATCTTGAGCAATTATTTTTGAGGAAAACGTTATGGTTGAAATCTTGAGCCATTATTTTTACAGCGATTCAATGGGTGAAATCTTGAGCCATTAATTTTGAGGGAAACGTTATTTTTGAAATATTGAGCCATTATTTTTACGGAGATTCAATGGGTGAAATCTTGAGCCATTACTTTGCGGGAAAAATAATGGATGAAATCCCGAGCCATTACTTTTGCGGAAATATAGGGAAAAGGAACGGAAAAATAATGGTTGGAATCTTGAACCATTAGATTTTGCGGGAAAAGTTATGAGTGAAATCTCGAGCCATTATTTTGCGGGAAAAATAATGGCTGAAATCTCGAGCCATTACTTTTGCGGAAAAATAGGAAAAAGGAACGGAAAAAATAATGGTTGGAATCTTGAACTATTAGATTTTGCGGGATAAGTTATGGGTGAAATCTCGAGCCATTACTTCTGTGTAAAAATAATGGGTGAAAGCTTGAGCCTTTACTTTGCGAAAAAGGTAATGGGTAAAATCTTGAGCTATTACTTTTGCGGAAAAAGTAATGGGTCAATCTTAGACCATAAACATGGTTGCTCTACAGTCGGCATATGTACACTACTCATGCTCATTAATAAGCATTTCTTAGGGCCTATAATAAAAGAATTGACGTAAATGAAAACTTACTTTTCTCAACAATCTATCAACATGCTGCCCACCTGCTAGAGACACCAGTATCCTTCCTTCATCGCTAAGGTCAACCATATTCCATTTTTCGAAATATCGCTCAACGGTTTTCAGGAAACCCGGTCCGGATTGTACTCCAAGGTGTGATACTCGAATACTTTGAGAACTCAATAACGATGCCAGAAGAGTTCCATCTGAAATCAAGTAAATGAAACGACTATTTTAACTGGAAACAGTATAATTCAAATGCAGCAGATCTGTTGAATTCCATAATGGAAGTGATTTTAAGTGAATTACTAGGTATTTTCACTTTCCTTCCCGCATTTTTTCGTAGTGTAACAGAAATCTCGCTCGGCGTGTCTTCAGGAGGTCCGAAATTGAAGATTTGGGACATCGATGACAACATACACAGTCAAATGACTTATTTTTCTAACTTTCTTCTATTAAAATGTGATTTTTATTTAGGTATTATGTATTTTATATTTAATTTTTTCAATTTTTATTATAGAATTCTCAAAATCTAATACTTTATTTGACTTCATATATAACAACATTGTATTTATCTATTCTTAAATTTTTAACTTTTATTTATTGTAATCTATTTATGTTATTATTTATTGTATTATTCATATATTTATTTCTTGATATTAATTTTTTTATGTATTATCAAAATTCTAAAATTTTATTGTATTTTATACATAACAACCACAGTTGGTGGATGATTCCATCAGTTGAGCGTAAAAGCTGAATGTCTTAAAGGCGGTTAATCTGATGTTAAATAAATAAATAAATATTAAAATATGATTACAACATTACATTGATTTATTCCTGAAACTATTATTATATATCTACGACACTGTCTAGTTATTTTTTTTAAATTACATAAATTAATTCTTTTTATACCAATTTTACTTTGTCTGGCATCTGGTGAGCAAAGCTCTCGCCATTCGATATGTACTCCCTTTTGAGATATGCGACCCCCATCTTGTCTCTCTTCCTTCTTGGGAAGTGGTATTTTTATATTGGTTACGTCTCCTACTAATGAGTTTGTAGAATCGTTAGGTTATTTTGAAGCAGGAGACGGGAAAACTATGACACCACATGCGGAGACGTCAGTTACACCACATGCGGAAAGGAGGGGATATTACCTTATATGCTCCCCTTTTTAAAGGGTGACTGCGAATGAGGGGACCAATCCTGGTGGTGACGTATTATCATCCAACACCTTTTAGTTAGGCAGTCTTGTAAATTGTTTTGGAATCAGGAAATTGAAGGAATCCACAGTGCCTTCGCCAGGACTCGAACCTGGACCTCTCGAACCTGGCGCCGAGTGTTCTACCGCTACACCCCGAAGGCATGCTGGAATAAGGAAGAAAATACCTCATAAGTTTATAAGGTCCTTTTCTCATCCCTTCCTTGTGTAACTGGAAGCACGCTCGAGGCGTATTCGCGGGGGGGGGGTCGGAATTCGAATCCCGGCGAGGACACTGCAGATTACTTCAATTTCCTGACAATCAAAAGTTAGTAAAAGGTGAGTCTAATAAAAAGTTAAGGAGAAAGTGTGTACCTTCATTATCCTCCTCGTGAAGCATGATAACGTCATGTAGTAAGTCTGCTTCAAATACTCAAAACAAGCGAATCCAAAAGACGTGATTGTCTTTGTGATTTCGGAATTTTCGACTTCCTGACAATCAAAAGTTAGTAAAAGGCGAGTCTAATAAAAGTTAAGGAGAAAGTGTGTACCTTCATTATCCTCCTCGTGAAGCATGATACGTCATGTAGGTAAGTGTGCTTCAAATACTCGAAACAGCGAAATCCAAAAGACGTGAATGTCTTTGTGATTTCGGAAATTTTCGACTTCCTGACAATCAAAAGTTAGTAAAAGGCGAGTCTAATAAAAGTTAAGGAAAAGTGTGTACCTTCATTATCCTCCTCGTGAAGCATGATAACGTCATGTAGGTAAGTGTGCTTCAAATACTCGAAAACAGCGAAATCCAAAAGACGTGAATGTCTTTGTGATTTCGCGAAATTTCGACTTCCTGACAATCAAAAGTTAGTAAAAGGTGAGTCTAATAAAAAGTTAAGGAGAAAGTGTGTTACCTTCATTATCCTCCTCGTGAAGCATGATAACGTCATGTAGGTAAGTGTGCTTCAAATACTCGAAAACAGCGAAATCCAAAAGACGTGAATGTCTTTGTGATTTCGGAAATTTTCGACTTCCTGACAATCAAAAAAGTTAGTAAAGGTGAGTCTAATAAAAAGTTAAGGAGAAAGTGTGTACCTTCATTATCCTCCTCGTGAAGCATGATAACGTCATGTAGGTAAGTGTGCTTCAAATACTCGAAAACAGCGAAATCCAAAAGACGTGAATGTCTTTGTGATTTCGGAAATTTTCGACTTCCTGACAATCAAAAGTTAGTAAAAGGTGAGTCTAATAAAAGTTAAGGAGGGAAAGTGTGTACCTTCATTATCCTCCTCGTGAAGCATGATAACGTCATGTAGGTAAGTGTGCTTCAAATACTCGAAAACAGCGAATCCAAAAGACGTGAATGTCTTTGTGATTTCGAAATTTTCGACTTCCTGACAATCAAAAGTTAGTAAAGGTGAGTCTAATAAAAAGTTAAGGAAAAGTGTGTACCTTCATTATCCTCCTCGTGAAGCATGATAACGTCATGTAGGTAAGTGTGCTTCAAATACTCGAAAACAGCGAAATCCAAAAGACGTGAATGTCTTTGTGATTTCGGAAATTTTCGACTTCCTGACAATCAAAGTTAGTAAAAGGTGAGTCTAATAAAGAGTTAAGGAAAAGTGTGTACCTTCATTATCCTCCTCGTGAAGCATGATAACGTCATGTAGGTAAGTGTGCTTCAAATACTCGAAACAGCGAAATCCAAAAGACGTGAATGTCTTTGTGATTTCGGAAATTTTCGACTTCCTGACATCAAAGTTAGTAAAGGGTGAGTCTAATAAAAAGTTAAGGGGAAAAGTGTGTACCTTCATTATCCTCCTCGTGAAGCATGATAACGTCATGTAGGTAAGTGTGCTTCAAATACTCGAAAACAGCGAATCCAAAAGACGTGAATGTCTTTGTGATTTCGGAAATTTTCGACTTCCTGACAATCAAAAGTTAGTAAAAGGTGAGTCTAATAAAAAGTTAAGGGGAAAGTGTGTACCTTCATTATCCTCCTCGTGAAGCATGATAACGTCATGTAGGTAAGTGTGCTTCAAATACTCGAAAACAGCGAAATCCAAAAGACGTGAATGTCTTTGTGATTTCGGAAATTTTCGACTTCCTGACAATCAAAAGTTAGTAAAAGGTGAGTCTAATAAAAAGTTAAGGAGAAAGTGTGTACCTTCATTATCCTCCTCGTGAAGCATGATAACGTCATGTAGGTAAGTGTGCTTCAAATACTCGAAAACAGCGAAATCCAAAAGACGTGAATGTCTTTGTGATTTCGGAAATTTTCGACTTCCTGACAATCAAAAGTTAGTAAAAGGTGAGTCTAATAAAAAGTTAAGGGGAAAGTGTGTACCTTCATTATCCTCCTCGTGAAGCATGATAACGTCATGTAGGTAAGTGTGCTTCAAATACTCGAAAACAGCGAAATCCAAAAGACGTGAATGTCTTTGTGATTTCGGAAATTTTCGACTTCCTGACAATCAAAAGTTAGTAAAAGGTGAGTCTAATAAAAAGTTAAGGGGAAAGTGTGTACCTTCATTACCTCCTCGTGAAGCATGATAAACGTCATGTAGGTAAGTGTGCTTCAAAATACTCGAAACAGCGAATCCAAAAGACGTGAATGTCTTTGTGATTTCGGAAATTTTCGACTTCCTGACAATCAAAAGTTAGTAAAAGGTGAGTCTAATAAAAGTTAAGGAGAAAGTGTGTACCTTCATTATCCTCCTCGTGAAGCATGATAACGTCATGTAGGTAAGTGTGCTTCAAATACTCGAAAACAGCGAAATCCAAAAGACGTGAATGTCTTTGTGATTTCGGAAATTTTTCGACTTCCTGACAATCAAAAGTTTAAAAGGTGGAGTCTAATAAGAGTTAAGGAGAAAGTTGTGTACCTTCATTATCCTCCTCGTGAAGCATGATAACGTCATGTAGGTAAGTGTGCTTCAAATACTCGAAACTCGAAAACAGCGAAATCCAAAAGACGTGAATGTCTTTGTGATTTCGGAAATTTTCGACTTCCTGACAATCAAAAGTTAGTAAAAGGTGAGTCTAATAAAAAGTTAAGGAAAAAGCGTGTACCTTCATTATCCTCCTCGTGAAGCATGATAACGTCATGTAGGTAAGTGTGCTTCAAATACTCGAAAACAGCGAAATCCAAAAGACGTGAATGTCTTTGTGATTTCGGAAATTTTCGACTTCCTGACAATCAAAAGTTAGTAAAAGGTGAGTCTAATAAAAAGTTAAGGAGAAAGTGTGTACCTTCATTATCCTCCCCGTGAAGCATGATAACGTCATGTAGGTAAGTGTGCTTCAAATACTCGAAAACAGCGAAATCCAAAAGACGTGAATGTCTTTGTGATTTCGGAAATTTTCGACTTCCTGACATCAAAGTTAGTAAAGGTGAGTCTAATAAAAAGTTAAGGAGAAAGTGTGTACCTTCATTATCCTCCTCGTGAAGCATGATAACGTCATGTAGGTAAGTGTGCTTCAAATACTCGAAAACAGCGAAATCCAAAGACGTGAATGTCTTTGTGATTTCGGAAATTTTCGACTTCCTGACAATCAAAAGTTAGTAAAAGGTGATCTAATAAAAAGTTAAGGGGAAAGTGTGTCCTTCATTATCCTCCTCGTGAAGCATGATAACGTCATGTAGGTAAGTGTGCTTCAAATACTCGAAAACAGCGAAATCCAAAAGACGTGAATGTCTTTGTGATTTCGGAAATTTCGACTTCCTGACAATCAAAAGTTAGTAAAAGGTGAGTCTAATAAAAAGTTAAGGGGAAAGTGTGTACCTTCATTTCCTCCTCGTGAAGCATGATAAGGTCATGTAGGTAAGTGTGCTTCAAATACTCGAAAACAGCGAAATCCAAAAGACTGAATGTCTTTGTGATTTCGGAAATTTTCGACTTCCTGACAATCAAAAGTTAGTAAAAGGTGAGTCTAATAAAAAGTTAAGGAGAAAGTGTGTACCTTCATTATCCTCCTCGTGAAGCATGATAACGTCATGTAGGTAAGTGTGCTTCAAATACTCGAAAACAAGCGAAATCCAAAGACGTGAATGTCTTTGTGATTTCGGAAATTTTCGACTTCCTGACAATCAAAAGTTAGTAAAAGGTGAGTCTAATAAAAAGTTAAGGGGAAAGTGTGTACCTTCATTATCCTCCTCGTGAAGCATGATAACGTCATGTAGGTAAGTGGCTTCAAATACTCGAAAACAGCGAAATCCAAAAGACGTGAATGTCTTTGTGATTTCGGAATTTTCGACTTCCTGACAATCAAAAGTTAGTAAAAGGTGAGTCTAATAAAGTTAAGAAGGAAAGTTGTGTACCTTCATTATCCTCCTCCTCGTGAAGCATGATAACGTCTGTAGTAAGTGTGCTTCAAATACTCGAAAACAGCGAAATCCAAAAGACGTGAATGTCTTTGTGATTTCGGAAATTTTCGACTTCCTGACAATCAAAAGTTAGTAAAAGGTGAGTCTAATAAAAAGTTAAGGAAAGTGTGTACCTTCATTATCCTCCTCGTGAAGCATGATAACGTCATGTAGGTAAGTGTGCTTCAAATACTCGAAAACAGCGAAAATCCAAAAGACGTGAATGTCTTGTGATTTCGGAAATTTTCGACTTCCTGACAATCAAAAGTTAGTAAAAGGTGAGTCTAATAAAAAGTTAAGGAGAAAGTGTGTACCTTTCATTATCCTCCTCGTGAAGCATGATAACGTCATGTAGGTAAGTGTGCTTCAAAATACTCGAAAACAGCGAAATCCAAAAGACGTGAATGTCTTTGTGATTTCGGAAATTTCGACTTCCTGACAATCAAAAGTTAGTAAAAGGTGAGTCTAATAAAAAGTTAAGGGGAAAGTGTGTACCTTCATTATCCTCCTCGTGAAGCATGATAACGTCCATGTAGGTAAGTGTGCTTCAAATACTCGAAAACAGCGAAATCCAAAAGACGTGAATGTCTTTGTGATTTCGGAATTTTCGACTTCCTGACAATCAAAAGTTAGTAAAAGGTGAGTCTAATAAAAGTTAAGGAAAGTGTGTACCTTCATTATCCTCCTCGTGAAGCATGATACGTCATGTAGGTAAGTGTGCTTCAAATACTCGAAACAGCGAAATCCAAAAGACGTGAATGTCTTTGTGATTCGGAAATTTTCGACTTCCTGACAATCAAAAGTTAGTAAAAGGTGCTAATAAAAGTTAAGGGGAAAGTGTGTATTCCTCCTCGTGAAGCATGATAACGTCATGTAGGTAAGTGTGTTCTTCAAATACTCGAAAACAGCGAAATCAAAAGACGTGAATGTCTTTGTGAGGAAATTTTCGAATTCCTGACAATCAAAAGTTAGTAAAGGTGAGTCTAATAACTGGGAAATCCAAAAGACGTGAATGTCTTTGTGATTTCGGAAATTTTCGACTGCAGTTGCAAAACTGGGGCGTCACCAGATGCGGAAGATTGTAATGGTGTGCTGTGACGTCTATTCCTTTCCAAATTTTTGTTGCATTGGAAACAGCGATCACGGCCACTGTCCTTTGAAGTACCCACATGCAGGCTGAAATGAATGACGATATAAAAAAACTCATAGCATCTCTGAAAGCATATGCACGAAAACAATTTTGAAGTAATACTACTGAAATATGATACTCCATACTTGATATAATACACGAATCCTACTGCAAAATTTAGAAGTATGATATTCTTGGTTCTATTGGAAACACTGCTGGTAAAAAAATCCAATACACAGAAAAATTTATTTTAATCACAAGCTACGGGACTCGAAGATTCTGAATTACAGATTTTTCAGATAATTGAATATATTGAATCCAAAAGACGTCTGTGATAAATGAATCAAAAGTTAGTTTCTAATACACTATAAAGCCTTCCAATGTCCATGAATGTCTTAAATATATCTCATATATATCATAAGCATATATTCATAATATATTCATATATATTCTTAAATCAATCAATCAAATCATAATTAGAATCGTTCAATTATATATTCAAATATAAATATATTCAATTTGAAATTGTTTCAAAAGAATAAATTGAATTTAAATACAAATTTAATTAATTCTTTGCGTCATTGCTGCAAGGAACGAAATTTAAATTTTAACAAACATGTATATACTTAAAAAAGCAAATTAAAGTTAAAATAATTAAAAAAAATTGTGCAAACATATAAAAGATTTAATTTTCGAACTAATCTACAATATCATTTAAATTCAGATAGCATAAGTAAAACCAAACCATGAAAATAAAAGGTGACTGATCTTCGACGTATTCATTTTTTAGAAGAACCTAAGACATTTATCTAAATCAGAATTCTTAAACTTTTTTCAGTCGCGACTCCTTTTTATCACTGAGATTTTTTCGCGACCCCCAGGACCCCATAATATTTACGAAAATTTTGTGGAACCCCATATAAGCATTGCGCAAATCCGACGCACGCGTTTGTGAAAATGTCGATTTTTTTCACTTGCACAGTAATATATATTATAGTTTTAGGTCACTAACTTTAATTTCTAATTTTAAGACATAGAACAATGTGAAAAGTTTAAATAAGTAACAGACGAAATGACAACGTCACATGCAAAGCAAGTAAAATGAACTGTTTCTATTATAAAAAGAATGCGTCGAAACGTTTTCCTTTTTTCTTTATCTGTATTGTCTTGTAAGACCTATCTCTATTCATTCACACAATCTAAATTAGATTCTACAGTGAACATAGAAAATTCTCGCACAGGCGTGAATAAATTACCAGCACAGAAGAAAGGGTGAAAAATAACCCTTTAATTGATTGAAACTAATTTAACAGAAAGGCACGGACTTCGTGCGTTACAATAACAATCTACAAATCACAAGGCCTTGGCCTTGACAGCGCCCTGCTCGATATAGGTTCTTCAGTATTCAGCAAAGGGCAGGCGTATGTCGCATTTGCTCGAATTAAAACCATTGATGGGATTTATCTCATTAAATTACACTCATGTTCATAAATTAAGGATAATGCAAAATCAGACAAAGGAAGAGTTAGAAGCAAAACAAATTTGACTTATTTGTAAAGCTTATTTATTAAACAAAAGGTAAAGAGCAAAAAAAGATGCTATACATTTGATATTATTAAAAAAATTAGCGATTTTTTCTCCTTGGAGCAAATTACAAAAAAAAAAAAAAAAAAAAAAAAAAAAAAAAAAAAACTATTTACAAAAAACCAATATTACATGGTTGGTATGATTGTTAATACATTGTATGTCTCCCAGACGATGCAATACAGTCCGTACAACGCCTAGGCATGCTGAGTATCAAATTATCGATCTGATCTTGGGGGATATTACACCACTCAAAAAGCAATGCTCTCCGAAGTTCCGGTAGACATGTAGGAGGAGGTTGACGGGCTCCAACTCGTCGGCCAAGCATGTCCCACACGTGCTCTACTGGATTCAAGTCCGGTGAGAATGCTGGCCAGTCCATACGGGTGATATCCCCCGACTGAAGGCATTCGCTTACGATGTTTGCACGGGTGAGGACGGGCGTTGTCGTCCATAAACACAAATTGTGCGCCCCTGGCCCCCCGAAACAAACGTACATGTTGTTCCATAATGACGTCCCGATAGATTTGGTTTTGTCATGGTTTCAATTTGAACATGCAGGTCAGTTCTGGAACCCAGAATAATTCCACCCCAAACGAGCACTCCTGCACCACCGTAACGGTGTCGTTCAATGATGTTTTCTTGGTGGTAACGGGTACCTGGAGCTCTCCATAGGAAAGTCCGGCGAGAATTAGGCTGCAAGCTAAACCTGGACTCGTCGGAAAACATCACACAATCCCACTATTGCGGTGTCCACAACGAATGCTCTATACTCCAGGCTAACCGCGGGTGACAGTGAGTTGCAGTAAGTGGAACGCATCTGACAGGGCTACGAGCATATAGACCAATCTGCCCTAAGCGTTTCTGCACAAACTGCCTTGAAATTGTCGTGGCTGAAGAGAGCTGACGAGACTGGTTTGAGACTGTGTTCCGCCTGTTTCTTTTGACAATAACTGCCAAATACCTATCCTCATTCGGCGTTGTAACTCTGGGGCGACCTGTGCTGTAACGTCTACTCACATTACCATCATCTTGGAATCGTTGCCAAAGCCTGGAGATGACACTCTGGGCGTTCCAGAGTTCGTCTGATACTTCCAGTTGGGTACGCCCACATTCCAGACGGCCGATAATTCTACCACGTAAAAAATCATCCAAATGCGTCCTTTTTGTCATAACTATTCGGTTATTGCACTGAAATGCTTATAAAGCGCCTGCGAGCAATTTTACTTCATTGCCTGTATTCCTTATATATCTCTCTCTAACACTCTCGTCATTGTGACGTACCATCCGTGTCATCTGGTTACTTCCTGAATTTTGCATATGATTCTTGAAGATGTGTGTAGTGATTTTACAGGTGATATAGTTATTTTAGAGTTCGATTTTCGCGTGATTCCGAATTATCTTTAATTTATGGACATGAGTGTAGTTATACCGCCCCGGCTTAGCAACTTTATCGATAAGTGGAAAACGTGTCAAAAAATACTAGGCACCGAATGGTCTGCGCGCTCTAACTTAACCGTTGTGAAAAATATAGAAATTGTTAATAAAAAGAAACAAGTGCAGCGCAAAGACACTGCTTTTTCTCTTGCTTCTCAATTGGTGGCTGTAATTTCTTTCATTTCATCTGATGCAGACAGTGCTGTACTCTAAGTTGTTTGGATTTGCTAGTGTAATGTTTTAATGATCGTTGTGTGTTGATTTTCTGTTGTATGGGTTGAATTTGTGTAGTTTTGTAGTAGTATTGAACTTTTGTTGTTGTTGTATAGTGTTTTGAACCATGTTTTGCATTTGTCGTTTCTCCGTTTTGTGAAGGATCCGTTCGCATTTCCTTCATCTTGTCAAGTTCCGTTCACCTACCAGATGCCTTTGGCCTTTTTCCTTTTAGTACCCCTCTCACTTTTCCTTTCTCCGTTTTCCATTTTCAGAGTTCATTAAGGCATGTGCCCTTGGCTTTATTTAAGTGGACTCATACACCTTAAAACCAGCAAGACCTTCGAATATGTGACTGTTGAAAGAATTGGTATATTTTATTTATTTGAAAAGCAATTACTTCCAACTTTTTACAGCTGACTACATAATATAGCTGCTTTCTAAAATAGTAATCAGAAAGTTTGTGTTGCCACAAATATTTTAATAATTTAATCCGCTTTGTGACAAAAGTTTTCGTCGTGTTTCCACCTTGCGCGCACAGTTTAAAACATTCTGTTGCATAATTTAATTCTATATTTAATGTACAGCTTTTATAATATTTGAAAGCTACTGTGAACCAAAAATTCTAAGAATTTAATTTTAAATTAAAATTTTGTTTGGAGTTGAGTTTAAAAAATTTATTTTATTAAAAAAATCTGTAATGTTTTCGTGCATAAAATTTTTTAATATTAAAGTGTTCATCAGATTTTTGGTTCAGATAGAAAATAGTGAATTCCATCCAATTTAAAGTATGTACCATTAGCCATTTTTAAAATATCCGGCGCGCAAGGTGGAAACATGGAGAAATATTTTGTCACAAAGAGGATTAAATTACAAAAATATTTGTGTAATATTTTTTAAAAATATAAAATAGCACTAACTTTCTGGTTACTAGTTTCAAAAGCAGCTATATTACGTAATCAGCTGTAAAAGGTTGGAAGTAATTGCTTTTACAATAAAATATCCCAATTCTTGCAACAGTCGCATATTCAAAGATCATAAAGGGTTTAAGGTGTATGAGCCCCCTTAAGGAACCGGCCAAGTTGCGCCTGCAATAGCTCGGTAAAACAGATCTGTCTAAGCAAAGACAACATTGCCACCGTTATGGAAAATATAGAAATTGCTAATAAAAAACAGTGCAGCTTAAAAGGAACATAAATGTGAAAGAAGTGCCAAGTTCGGGAGAAACGACGTTCGGTGTAGTCGCTGTCACCGACGAATGAGTTGATATCTAACGGATGGAAAGTTCCATAGCAGTTCCTTTAATCATAACTGGAGGAATATACAAGTCTTCTTCAATTCGTTTAAAAACCAATTTATTACTGTCTTTGATATGAGATTTCTAACTTGGCGAGGTAATTTCTAATTGAAGAAGTCAGATTTTTTAGCTTAATTTACTGGAAATTAATTGTTTTTTTAATGAATGGAAGAACGTTGTATATTCCTACAGCTATGATTAAAGGAACTGCTATGGAACTTGCCATCCGTTAGATCTGAGCTACTTTGGGACACCGACTACACCGAACGTCGTTTCTTCCGAACTTGGGCCCTTTTACACATTTATGTTGTTGTTATGATTTTACATTTTGTACATATACAGAGGCTGTTCACACATTTTTTAGACGATTTTGGTAAGCGGTAATAAAAAATCGTTTGCTGAAAAAGAAGTAATTGCAATTGTACTATGTTTTTAAAAGTCAAACTTATCGTCTGTGGCTTGAAAGTTTTGTTTTTATTCAAAATGGCGAATTTAACAAAGGAGTGGTTCGAAGGC